TTACACAAATAAAAATCGGTTGAGAAGGTGAAGGTGGATCTAAGGATTAGCAATAATAGGTTGGGCTCACCAATGTGGAATTATGGTCTAGTATGTTATTAGTGCTGCTCTAATAATAGACCTAGTTCTAAATTTGTAGATTTGTCATGATATAACTGCCTAATCTATAAGATCTTACGTGGAAGTCACACCATCGACTACGCCAACTCACTGTATCGTATCAATTACCAATACATGATGTAGAACAACGTTAGGCTAGAGAAGGAACAATATATTTAATACGAATAGAAGATATAAGATAACATTCAGATGGACCACGCCTGCATGGCCGAGCCATGCCATCCGATTAACTCCAGTTTATTCCATTCGTTGTTCGCGCCTTCTCCATTGTTAGGTATTTCTCCGCGTTAAATGTTGAGTATCTATTTTCTGAGTAGTCTCGTGTTCACAGCTTTGTGGATTGTGTGGCTATTGTCCAATGCCACTACAAGCTCACTGTCTTTTTTAAAGCAGGGGCTAGCCGCCTGTATGCAGTACTCAAGTTTAGGACGAACGAACACTGTATACAAAGTCAAAAACGTCTTAGTGTCGACATGACTAAAAGCCCTACGTATTGACCATAACGTTCTAAAACTTTTGGCGGCTATTGCACGGCAGTGTGCAGTAGTCTTTAAGTCTTGACTAACGATAACTCCTAAGTCATTATATGTCTGGACAACAGGTAGCTCAGTGTTATTCATCGTGTATGTATCTGTGCCTTGATGACCGATATGCATCACAACACACTTGGAAGTATTTATCGGCAACTGCCATGTTTGAGACCATTCAGATAACTTCTTCAGGTCATTTTGAAGTTCTAAGCTATCACTCTTACATCGTATCGTTCTCCATATCTTGACATCGTCAGCATATAGCAAGACCGATGATGATAGGAGACAAGGAAGGTCATTTACAAAAAAAAAAAAAAAAAAAAAAAAAAAAAAAAAAAAAAAAAAAAAAAAAAAAAAAAAAAAAAAAAAAAAAAATAACTTTGAGTTCACCCGAACTCTTTGTTGACGCCCAACTAAGAAGTCTTTTATCCACATCAATAAATTACCTCCAATCCCGATATGTCTTAACTTATATAACAGCCGGTTGTGCGGAACTTTATCAAAAGCTTTACTGAAATCAATGAAGGCGACGTCTACAGGTAGCTTTTGGTCCTTAAGAGCACACCAGCTTTCACGAGCCACTAATAAGTTAGTGAGACAAGAATAACCTATTCTGAAGCCATGCTGCTTCTCCGAGAGGATCCGGTTTTTATCGAGATACTTAAACAGCTCCTTCCGAATAATCTTTTCTAATATTTTAACAACCACACTAGTTAGGCTAACGGGGCGGTAGTTCTCAGGTTTGTGTTTCGTGCCTGTTTTGAAGACAGGACTTACTATGGCGTTTTTCCAATCTTTCGGTAAGCGACCCTGCGTAACGGATAGGTTAAAGCATGTACTTAAAGGGTTCGCAACGAAGTTAGATAATTCCTTCAGTAGCCTAGGATGTAATTCATCGGGCCCCGTGGATTTACCTATGTCAAGCTTATTTAGCAGACCAAAGACATCGAGTTCTTTAATGGTCACGCTATCCAGTGTATGTATGGGGGGATCTGTATACGCTGACGAGAAGGGTGCTTCTATGGTATACACGTTGCTAAAGTAGTTCGAGAACGCTTGAGCCTTACCAAAGTCGTCCTCCACTAATGATGAAGCAGTACTGTCTCCCCATAGAGCAGGAATATTTCCTTTTCTCCTTGTCCTTTGGTTTATATAGGAATACAAGCGTTTAGGACATTCTATGGATTCCTTAACAAGTTTTTCTTCGTACAATTTTCTAGACTTACGGAGGGTCGAGGCACAAGTGTTCCGAGCCTTTCGATACTGAGATTTTGACTCATCAGTCCCCAGTAACCTAAATCTATCCCACATTTTCCTTTTCTTACGGAGAAGGATACGGACCTCCCTACTGAACCATGGTGGTGAGTTTTTCGGCCCCTTTGGTATAGTCCAAGGGATGTGAGGTGTGGTAACTTTTAAGTATGATTTTCGAAATGCGTCCCAGGCCGTTTCAATGGAGGACTCTGGGTCTATTGTCCAATCTATTAACGATGCTGAGTGCATGATGTCTGGTATGTTTGCTTTCCAGACGTTGGGTCTGGACTGGACTGACGCGTCCTCATGACTGGCAGTTATATGGAAGTCGAAAGTTAAAACTGCGTGGTCACTTTTACCTAAGGGTGGCATATGGTGGAGGTTCGCAACATCATCCTCATAGTGAGTCAGTATAAGATCTAATAAGGATGATTCAGTGTCCGGGTCGTACCTAGTCGCTTCTTTCACATGTTGCACTAGGGCACATGTGATAACCGCATCAACTAGTTCCTGCTCGAAGGAATTTTCTGACGATTCAGTTCGCAGATTTTCCCAGTCTACCATAGGTGCATTAAAGTCCCCTAGGATTAGACATCGACCACTTTGGGACCAAGTATTGAGACTGCTTAACAGGATCTCATTTGCCTCACAGCTTGGACTGCGATAGACCAAACCAATCAGCAGCTCTTGTCCCTTGCATTTTAAGCGAAGACTAACTAATTCACACGTCCCACTCTCATGGGATACACTATCGATAATGGTAAATGGGATAGCATTCCTAATGAATAGAGCTACCCCCCCTCCTTTGCGCTTTTGTGTTCTGTCGGCCCTTACTAACGTAAAGCCCTCGAAATCAAGTTCTATACTATCTATAGCCTGTGTCAGCCAGGTTTCTGTTACTGCGATTATATCTGGCTTTGCAGAGTCAATCTGTACACCTAGTTCCGATTGCTTATTGAGAAAGCTTCGTGCATTGGTGTAACAGATCCGAAGCCTATTTAAGTGGCTTCGTGCTTCACTCAGAGTATCTTCGGCATCATTCTCTGTCGAAGTCTTACAACCCGAAAATTTACAATTTTCAGGTCCTTTTCGCCAGCGTCTAACCTATGTTGTAGTTCTTTCTCGGCTTCCCGTCTTTTAACACGGTCTGCCAACGGTAGGTCCTTTCGGATAAAGACTCCTGAACCCTTTAATTTGTGTCCATTTTGTAAAATTAGGTCACGTTCGTTCGAAGAGCCGAATACTACTTTAAGCAGTCTGGAATGATTTGGTTTCGAGTCCGTTAGACTCCCTAGTCTGTACACCTTTAGCAAGGTGACCCCGATCATATTTTGAGGCATGAGTTGATTAAGCAGCTGCCTAATCAGTACAATGTCATGCTCAAAACGAGCTTTAGGTTCAGAGCTATCGCTCTCCTTAATTCTATGAAAAATAGCTGATCTGTCGCTATGATCAGCTTTCGATTTTTCAACCACTTTTACGGGGGCAGGTTTCCCTTTTATATCAATACTTTTCTTCCTTACAACCTTTACCCATTCGTCAACGCTGCTGGTAGAAGCAATAGCAGTTGCGTCAAACCTAGTGTTGGGTTTTGGGGGGTTGTCGACGACCTGAGGGGTCGTGTTATGTTTACCATTTGAAACCGATCGAGCCTTGCGATTGCGGCTCCTAGGTGTTTCCTGTTGGATCCCATCTGGGAGACGGGGAACAGAAGACCCTACTTTTCTTGAGCTTTTTTTTAAGGCAGGCCCCTTTGGAGACTGCTTTTCCTTCTTTGACGGGCGTGAGTCATCTATCACCGGACTCACCTTAGTTTCCTTCACATTGATTTGCGTGTCAACAGATCGAGTGCTGTTTGACGCGTTCCGACTATGCTTGTTGAAACACTTCTTTGCAGCATCAACCAGTGAGATGGCCTCGGTTAACAAGCTGTTTGCATCCGAGCAGCACTGTTGACAAAGCCACACACAACCCTTCTTACTGAACCGTTTGAAAGCAGCAGGCGTTAAGTTCGTGCAAACTTCGTGGTACCAGCCTTTGCACTCGTCGCACTGCATGCCGCTTTCAACAGGATAACGACAACCCGGACGTTGGCAACTGCTTTTTTTACACTGTCCGGTCATTTAGGAGGGGTTTTTTCAATATGCGATGATACCCAGAAACAAAAAAATTATCAATGACCAAAAAAAGTGAAGAGCTGTAGATTGCTAGGACCAAAAGTACTAACAGATACAGTTGAAAAAGAGGTACTAAAGAGTACCAACGACAAAACAGTAAAAACGATACTTTAGTCAAATACTTTAACTGAAATAAATTCAATTAAAGTGAAAAACAGTAGTCTTGATACGTAATAAACGATCAAAACAATGAAATTTACTCAGCGAGGAAAAATACCACTGTCCTTTTTAAATAGCGCGCGTTATCATTGGTAATTAAGATAATGAATTGATTAACTTGTTCTGGCTCATCGTCTTTATACCATTAAAAGGGTAAGATAAAGGGATTGGTTGACCTGTAATCAGTCATCACAACGATATCGTGTATTGGACTAAGAATCCTGGTCTCTGTCCTTGGACGGAAGCGCTTAGAAGGGTCTGTGACGATGTAATGCGTTCGGTACCTCGCTTCACCAACACCTGGTTTCGTATATCAGATTGACTTGATCTTACGCTTGTGCCATTGCTGAATTTTCTCGTTTGCTTTTATTATTAGACGTAAGTGTGCTATATGCGTTTATGGAGTCACCTGATCACTTCTCTTGTCTCTTTTCCAGTTACACACTGTCCCCACACTCCAACTTACAGACAACGGCGCCTCTGGTAATGGGTTTTACATGGTGACATGGAGTCAGGTGACGAAAGACTATCGAGGGTCTCATTTACTCACCGGATCATCGCTTCTTCAGTTGGTGGTATAATGACAGCGTTTGTTATGACGCCTCTGGATGTTGTGAAAGTCCGAATGCAGGTAACAATAAGCACAGTCCTTAATTTTTGATAGTCTTCCAGGGCATACTCCGAAACCAAGTGTCTTATTTATTGTAATGGACTAGCTGAACGCCTCTCCACCTGCCCATTGAGCCGAAACACCTGTTCTATGTCTTGGTCAGAACGTGCTATGAAGTGTGCAGGGAGGTGGAACTTATTTACCTCGAACGAATCACATTGTTGTTCCACATGCATTCCTCATTATAATAACCAATCTTTTGTTTCATTTTCCTGCCGCTCCCTAGCGTTTCAGTAAGTTTTGATGCATTACCTTGCCTTTTTCAATTTTAAGTCCTTGTTTCATATTAGTAGTCGTGTAAAAACATCTTTTGTTGTGATCAAGATGAGATTATGACCTGAATAGTGGTTGTAGATAATATATCGGCTTCAAAGTTTGTCTCCGTTGGTGGTGATGAATGAAACATTCTGTTAACTTCGTACCTATTCTGTCGCCTAACCTCTCCAGTGCTAACAGAAATTAAGACTTTGCACTTAAGTGTTTTGGAAGTTTATATTTTAAAAATTTGTTTATTCAGGTAGACCATAGGAATAAAAAATAGAATAAAGTCATTAGTCTACCAAAACACGAGACGTTTATATAAAATGAACAACATAAAAGTACAGTTAGGTTGGGAGACAGGCGCAACAGGTTACTAAATACCTGGTCAAATTAGAATGACATGTAATGGGCATACAAAAATAGGCTGCATAATAGTGTGATTACGATTGCCACAAAATTTACACTGATGTTTCGACATTTTTCGATAAATGATAAGGCTTCATTAATCTTCCTGATTAAACATTGAGCAGAAGCAGCTGTTTAACGTCATATCTTCACTGTTTATCTGATGCACACAGCATTTATTCTACTGCAAATGTAAATTTAATCGATAGAGGAAATCTCTATTATTGATTTACAATAATAAGAAGGTTGCGACTGGCTTTTCTGAAGTGACCGAACGACCTCTGTCATGAATTAAACAGCACTAGTGTATGTGTACTGGGTTTCGCAGTAAAATGTATTCGGAGTAACTAATTGGTTGTTTAGAAATATGTTGTTATTTTAAGTGGTCAATTGTAGTACTAGTTACCTTTCAGGAATCAAATGGTATGAATGCATGCAATTTGCAGTTATTTATCGTGCTTGTTTAATGTATTGTTGGATGAACGTGTGACTGTCCTTGCAACATAATCTCGCAAAATCGTCCCATAGTTCTCATAGCTGTTAGCCTCACATGAGTAAAAATGAAAGAAAATGTCCTCGTAAACCAGAAGAATAGGTAAAACTGTGAGACTCAGCAGTTTCGTGCTAGTTCAATTATTCTACTTAGGCTGTGTATATGGCGGGGGGCTATAATGTTAGACCACGTTGAATTAGTTTTATCCAGGTACGTTAAGATCCATTATTAGTTGTTTAAATTAATCAGGATGCAAAACCGCACTTTTTCATAAGAGCAGCTATTATTCTTGTCAAAAAATAGAGCAGACTCCATCTTATAAGAATCTTCTAAAGTTAAACTAAGTTCTACTGTAGTCGGGTGCCGAGTTATTATGAGATGCCTTTAAAAATGCTTTGACAGATTGCCGTGCGAAATGGATCCATTTTAAGTTTAATCACTGAAATTTTATAAATATAATCTCGTCGTTAATATCAGACTTCTTCAAAGTTTTCTAAGCCTCTGGTCTAGTTACTGCCACCATGTTTGTGATAGGATGTTAATTCATATTCAGTGCTGAATAAAAGCTCAAACTAAAGGAGTTACTTACTTTAGGGTTAGACGTTTTGGGGGATCTTTTTATGAAGTCTCGTTTATAGAAGAATGAGACAATGTCAAGTGTTGCCCCCAAATGCCATGGTACAGCCGAGAATGAAGAAAGTCCATTCTCCTCCAAATGCTCTCATATGGCCACGCGTATACAACCACTCCCACGAAAGTTCTACTCACTGCCTTCTCACGGCGAGGAGTGTTGTTCACCAAATCGACAGGACGAAAAGCGAATGTCCGGCTCCCTAACCAGGTTGGTGGATATGGAGGATCCATCTAGGGGAGTTGGAAAACCCTGATTCCAAACAAGTGGTGCACATAGGTTCTAGGATTATGAGGGAACCAATATTATGGCCACTAACTACCATGGGACTGCATCTCCTGACGTTACTCCACTACCTTGTGGATCAAACCTTTAAGTCGAAGGCTCCAGGTGTGGCCCTCCAAGAAAACCACCTGCTTCGTTCTGAGCACCCGGGCAGTATCACAGCCCACACAGAAATCAAGTGATTTGTTTGGCGCATATGTTTTCGGTGCCTCTTTGTACCAATATTTATGTGTTCAAATAAAAATAACTCAACAAGTAAACCGGAGTAGGTGACAACTCCATACACTATTAATTCGCTCAGTATTTTGGGTACCGTCTTCATTCGGTTTTCAACGAGTCTCTCTCCGTTTTTTTTCACTACCGGATGATCATGAACTGCCAAACTAGTTACAGCTTCAAATTTATAAGCCTGATGTACACTTAAACCAAACATTTCCACGGTAAAAACAGTTAGTCAGTCGGTCATCATCAAATTAGCATAGTCAGATAAAATAGCAAGATGATTAGCAAAGGCATCGAAGTAATGCCATGGAGTCATTAATGTTCATTTGAAAACTATTTCATGGGATAATGATAATCCATAAGGGGTTATTCACTTAACATGTGATCCAAAAAGTCAATGACTTCTTTATTTGATAACTTTTTTTTATTGGTTAATTCAATCTTCAACCCTATGTAAAATGTTAGTTATTTTCTTTGTTATTAAAAAATTCTTTATTTTATCATGAAAATTTTCTCTAAAGGATACCGTCCTCAGAATTATTCGTAATGAAGGTATTTTATCTCTTTGGAGTGGACTCTCCCCAACACTGTAAGTTAGAATTGTGTTGACCAATATTATATAATTACAGTGTTATGACACTTCCTCAAACTGTTATCTACTTCACTGTCAATGATTGGCTGAAATATCATGTTGGATATACTTCTAAGACTGTCAACAAATCACCAGTAATGACAAGTGGATCTTTCCAAAACTTCATCTCCCCTAAAGATTTCCTCCCTCCATTAGTTGGAGGTGTGTCTCGAATTTTCGCGGTAATGGCTGTATCACCAATAGAATTGTTACGTACAAAAATCCAAGCTAGGAAGTACTCTACCGAGATATAACATCGTTAGTTGTTACAACAGTGAAACAGGTATTGCTGAGTTTCGTTTACTATAAGATAAATTTGATAATTGGTAACATATTTCTTGGTTTATAGCAGTCTTTTGTAAATTTACTATCACAGACATGTAAACAACTGCACAGAAATAAGGTTAATCAACTCACTATCCACATACAAATTGGTGTATTCAGTTCAGTTGACTATTTATTGAGTTTTAAGACTCATAGGTTTAATTCGAAATTAATTATTATAACTCATTTAATAGGTACAAGTTCATATACTCACTTTTCAAATGCAATATTTATGTGAAAGCTTGTAACACTAGTCGGCTCTGTAATTCTAAATAATTGGAGTGTGATTGAAATCCGAGACATTTTAGTTGAACTCCAAGAACTTCAACTACTAGACTTCGTACTTAGGATATGATACGACTTTTGAATGCAGTTTCCGACCGTTGTTGTGGTGGTCGGGCTTGCCCATCGTGATGGAGCAACCGATCTATGCTGGCTGGAACAACCGTTCCTCAAGGTCCTACCATGTCAGACAGGTCGGTTGAAGAGCGGCATGGCTAAAAGCAACAGACTCAATGTCCGAAGGTGAAGTTGTACTGCTGACTGTATAAAGGTGTGACGGCAGTAAGATGTTTCTTTCAGACAACCAGCTCAGCAGTGATGCTGCCTTCCCACAAGGAGGGGTGGGGTTAGAAAATGTCGACCCTAAAAATGCACACCTCGCCTTATCCCGTAGTTATCTGTCTCCGGCGGTAAGGTCTCAACAAGTACGGGGCTAACACAAAAATACTTATAAAAAGGTCTTGTGTAACCGACCTCAAGCAGTCTTTCCTTGGGCACTGCGGTCACGCTCTCAGGTCACTAAGACCACCTCTAATCCAATTTCCTTTTCAGGTACCTCCAGAAGAACCCTTCCACGGTGTGGGCAACCGCGAAGTGATAACCGCCTTCATACCTCTAACAGCACTCAAGACCACTGTATTCATAATCAACCTCCCCCTTGAATGCAATTTATTATCTTTTCTTGTAGTAGCTATAAACGTTGCTTATAAGTAATTTAGTAGAATATAATCTCCATTCGTATACTTCTGGGATCCTGGTAGTTTATTTTAATTGTAGTTTCTTAGTTTCTCGTCATAGTGATACCTCTACTAGAGCGGTTCAGTTCCATGATAGATTGTCGGTCAAGATAGCTTATGGATTTTTATGTATTCAGATTTCGGTAGTCTTTTAAAGCCATTTCGTAAATGTAATTTTAAATCAACTATTTTGACATATTGTTTATTACTAAGGATGGTCTGAAAAGTTTGTGGTTAGGTGCTGGACCAACTCTGTTACGTGATGTTCCTTATTCTATGGTATTTTGGTTAACTTACGACTATATGAAATCTGGGTTTATAAATAAACAGATAAGAACGCATTTGTTGTCGAATAGTGAATTGCCTGCCACATTTGACAGAATTCACTTTTCGCATGCATTTGGTTTTGGAGCAGCTGCTGGTTTTGTAAGTCATTTATTTAATATTTGTTTATTTCATGCAAAGTTGGTTTATAATGTGGAGATTAAATTTATGGGCTAAAGAAAAATATCTGAACAAACATATTTAAAATCGTTTGTTTCATTCTCGATGCTATTTACAGTATAGTTGAATGTAGATGCACATCGTGTAGCAGAGAATTTCATACGTTTTACTGATTTCAAATTCATTGAAAGCAATATTATATATATGCAAGTAACATCAGGTATTTCTCAGCTTTCCCAAATTAATGTGATTTATCACAAACCTAGGTTTCTACATTAGCCCATAAAGTCCTCATGGATTTTTCTCTTAAACATCTTGCATAGTTTAGCACACAAATATAATAGATTGAGATTCTGATAAGTTCAAATTATATCACATCTTGGCATTTTGATCAAGTAACATAAAGATTTTTTCAAGTGTTTTAAGTATACTTCCAAATATTTAATATTGTAAAGTTTGTAATCTTTTATTAAAATTTCCTTTTTTTTATCGTTAAATCAGTAAAATGTTAAGCATTTGTGATTTGACATCAGGAAAAAGCCTCAAAAACCAAACTGAAAGTTACCTCAATTATAGAACCCATCTACATCATTGTGTATTAAGCTTCTTAAGTGAAAGGATTCGGTTTTTCCATAGATTTAAATCTATGACAGTGTAAATAAAAATCAGTACTATGAAAGGACTTGTTTCTATCGAACCTCCCACATGTAATGTTCCTACAAATGAGTAATTCGATTTCTCGTGTATGATATATATTATATCACCATTGTAACCTCTAAATCGTTGTATATCTCATGCAAACACTAATTTTTTCTCCTGATATTCTTAAATTTCAGATTTCTGGCGTATTAACACATCCATTCGATGTGATTAAAACTCACAGACAAGTTGATTTCGGAAAGTATTCGTTTTCATTTAGTAAGTTATCAAACAATGGGCCTGTATATTAGTTTTGTGCACAACAGTCGTTCGAATTTATCTGTAATTTATATCAACAACACTCCAATAGAATTCACAGAACTGACAAGTTAGCAAAACGTTACGAGCATTAAATTGTGTATGCTTAGCAAATCTTTTGTGAAGGCAGTATAAAGAGTAACATGTCATTACTAGTCTATTGAGAAGAAATTAGTGAAAATGCCCAATCTGGAATAATGTGAGTCGACCGAATCGAAATAACTGTGGCATCAATGATAGTGAGAAAAACTAAACATTGGAAATACGACTAGAGAAAACGGAGTAAGATGGTTTATATGAAAGAATACTGAAACACGAATTTTAGGGGAAGATAGGATACAATCCATTTGTACTGTTATTTCTGCTTCTATCTAAGTCATTTTATACAACGTCTACAATCACTAATCGCTGTTGTTGCGTGGACTCGAACCAACGTGGCCCAGTGCGACAGTCAATAACTTCTTGGATTAATCTCGTATTTTTATTTGGCTACTCCTAATATTTTTCGAACCTATTCTTACACCAACTAATATTGCAGTTCTAGATAGACAGTGTTTGGTCCAGACAGCCTCAATCGATGAACATTTACTATCTCACCAACCAATTTGCAATATTCTTGTAATACTTACGCCTGGTACCCCTCATGGAGGAACATAAGATATCTACCAGCATCCTCCACCTTTTCATAATTTACTGTTCAGATGGATGCTAGATTGTTCTCTCTCACAGTAGGCTGTTACTGATGGTATCCACTCACCAGACGTTGAGTATCTTTTGCGTAGACAATTGCTTATAAATACTTGTACTGTTTTGATGATAGTTGTGGTAGTCATGGAAGTTTCAGCTCCTTACAGTAAAACTGTCTTGACGTTCGTATTGAAGACTTTGACTTTGATGTTGGTTGAGTTTTGAGTTCCATACGGTATTCAATTGTAAGAACGCGGTCCTTGTTTTACAAATCTTCACATTTACGTCTACATTTTCTAGAGTTTCTCCATCGATTGTGATTGGGTTAGTGTTCTCTGTGTTGTATTTCAGGATCTTGGTTTTTCCCTTGTGTATGTTAGGGCCTATTGCTGAAGAGGCTTCTGCCACAGTAGTTGTTTTCGTCTGGATTTGTTGGTGTGTATGGGAGAGAAGAGCCAGATTTTCTGCAAAGTCCAAGTCGTCTAGTTACATGCAAGCTGTGCATTGTATTCCGTGCTCTCCCTCATATATCGAAGTCTTTGTATTCCAGTCAAATGGATAGGAAAGCACTCAGCGGCGTCACAAGGCAAGCCATCACTTGGAATCCTCAAAGCCAAATGAGAAGAGGAGGACCAAAGAACACATTACGCGGAGAAATAGATGAACAACATTTGGACAGAACTAGGAAGGAAGGCCCAGGACAGGGTGTGTTGAAGAATACTGGTCGGCGGCCTATGCTCCACTGCAGGTAGCAGGCGTAAGTAAGTAGGGTCGACGGGTTTCGCTGATTCCATGTACTTATATTATTTGTTGCTCTGGTTGTTAGAAGCAGAATCAGCCTATGAATCTCGGCTTTCAACATGTGGCATCATAGTTCTCTCTTCAACTCCCAGGACAGAGTTTAAATTGTATTCTGGTTAGCGTTTTTTAGCAAGGTTGTTTTCTACGGGATGTGGTTGCCGACCACACCCCCAACCCTCCCTTACGTGGTCTTGGGACAGGCAGTAGGCTTAGAAGAGCTACAAATGAAGTTATATCCGTAATACTAGTGATTTAATTTCACAATTCCTTACTCGTTGTTCGAAAGTACATGAGCAACGCTTCAAAGATAAATACATGATCAGAAACCTGCGACCCACGCATTTCTTCTATCTTCGTTGCCATTAAGTAATATAAAACTGACTGCTGCACATTACACACCCTTTGGTTGGTAGACGGTTGTCTTCCTCACCCCTAAGTGATGCAAAATTGAGTCAAGCACCGAACCATCAGGACTGAGACTTTGAGTATAAGTATAGTGCTCGACCAGCCGAAATATTTCATCCCCTATAGCGTCTGGGTGTTGGTGTAAATTAGTCCTAATGTAACTTTATTTTTTAATGAATAAACGCATTCCAACCCTGTTTACACTGTTACTTAAAGTGTTCAAAGGTCTTTCAGCATGTCAGTCATTATCAACAATGGCACCCCTCACTAAACAGAATTATGAAATCTCCACAGTCTATGTCAAGAACAAAATCTCTTATTAGATCAGTTCCTGAAAAGTCGGACAACAGAAGCATTATCTCTAAATGGAATGTCTGTTTTGGAGTTAAATAAAATTGGGATAGTACGTAGCACCGACGAAAGCCACTTGAGGTTGACAATTTGGAAGAAAATATTGTTCAAAAAAAGAAACTTCATATAGTTTACGTGCTTCAGTAAACCCTTTAGTGATATACACTGTCAAAAGCCTCGGTTCAAGCCATATCCTGCCTACCAGTTAACAAATACAATTATTGCCGGACGTCATTAACTATGTTCATGTTCTAGAACCTAATGAAGGGCGGATATTGATCGTTAGATTCATGTCCGGGTCGGGAAATAGTATCATTTCGCTGTTCACGAGCTTTAGTTAAGCGTTGAATTATTACCTAGACTAACATTTTAAACACTCAGTTGAATCAATCCTTCCGTGGTCATCACAAGAGAATTTAACCCTTTCCTCTAAGTTTGGATGATCATCAATTGAGACCAGTCAGAATGTATCACGTTTAGTTCCCAAAATCTAGCTAACATTTCAGTCAATCTGAATGCCGAAACTTGACCATCATCCACAAAAATCCTCGAAGTTATTACATCGAATGCAACTGCTTCCTCCCATTCAGACTAACTATGGAACTTTCAGCTTCAATATTGGTAATAGTTGGGTTGGTCATATTGATTTTCCATTCAGACTTTTTTAGTGGTAAGCAAATATAAGGATCTGGATTGTTTCTGATTGACGCATAAATTCAACTTTTGATTATCTGTTTTTTCTTCAGATGATGAAAGCCACATTACTTAACACATTTAGACAAATTCTAACTTCGTTTTGCCAACCAACTAAACTACGTTTTTCTATAATCCTTTAAACGTAGATCATCTTCACCCAACATCAACATGGACATTACTGCATAATTTGTATATTAAAAATGGTCTTCCTGCCTTGTTTTCTGGTAAGTATTAATTGACAGGGTCGCATTTATTTTCAGTACAAAATAAAAATATCAATTTTGCTCATCAATGCCATTGAATTGCGTTTTGAAGATATTATGCTTATGTGAATACAGTTTAGCAGACTAAGAATTTGACACTAAAAATCTTAGTAACATTAAAGTTTAATGCTTGTTGATAAATAGTCAACAATCAGCGTGCCCCAACATGAAACATGCTTACATACGATCGATATCCTGCTAGCACAAAGGTAAATCCGACTGTGAAAATGATTAGGTACATCAGTCAGACGGTTATCATACCGAGTGACAATCTTGTCTTACATCATAGTATTGCCAAGTGAAAATTACTTATTTATTTGATACAAGTCTTCAACTACATGATTTCATACGTCTGTACATACAAATACATTTGAATCCCTCATGCTTTTATTCCCAACTAATTTGTTGCCCTAATTATGAAATTTCAGTTTTGCGATATTTGTTAATAATACCACTGATCATGTACATAAACTACTTAGTTGCATCACACATTTCATACACTTTTTTATTGATTTTTTTCACAGGTTTCACACCTAGAATAATTAAAACAACCGGCGCTTCTGCAATAATGATTGCCGTCTTTGAAAGTTTAAAAGAAAAAGTTGTAAATATCGGAACAAGTTAAATGGAGAAAAAAATTGAGGTCAACTTATTCTTGAAAAATTCTTCACATTACTCAAGTTTACTGTTACGCAACACTACATTGGTCATTTTATTTGTACTGTGTTTTAGTTTTTAGTGACAACATTGAATAAAATGACTTTAGTTCATGTAATTTGTTTATAGAGAATTTTTATTTGCAACAGGAAGGTTTTTGAAAAGACAATAGATTGGGATAGCTGAGTATGAAACCAGTAATTTGTGCTTTTTCATTGAAATCAAGAACTGATTTGAGTTAAACAGCCATTAAAAATTTGAAAGCACTGGATGACTGTTTCGTTCTGGTATGGGACTCATCACAAGCGCGCATCCACAACACCACCACTGAAGATCGAATGCTTCACCTCTAGACAAATGAGATTTCCGAAGATATTGGGTTCGACCCTCGGTCGCAAAGTCGCGAAACCGCACTGCTCAATCCCACATTAGGACGGAACGACTGTCTGGTGCTTACATGCTCAGCTTAAATCAGTGTGATTTCAGTGAAATTCGGCCATTCCCACAACTCCATAATGACAATTTCTGCTTTACTTTGGAGTACATCGTCAACATATTTGTTTGTATTCCTATGAGCCACCAGTTCTCTATAAAGGAACAGACTAAGCTTGAGATTATATGAATGTTTTAAATGGACTTGTTTATTTGAGTTAAATATATGTTAACTTCAGTCAAAACACGAAAGCAAGCCATCCTATCTACAAATCTGGATTTTCTTAGTGTGACTGGTCTAACACCACTAATGTTGATTTTCTAAGAATTCATTCCCGGAAAAATCAACTATCAGCTTGGGACGAAAACCACGTTTCAAAACATAACTTATGTCAACATTTAGTAATCCTTATTGTCGTGATTCACTAGTAATGCTTTTGCCTCATACGAGTGAGTCATTTTGGAAGAATTCCGACCGTTCCGGTGACGAGGATCCTTTTTGGTTTTTTCTATCACCCTAAACACTTTTCAAAAACCTGTGCCTTGATTTTAAAGTCATGTCTTACTGCAGTTGATAATGTTGCGTTGAGTGTTTCACATATGTTGTCTATCAGCAGGTTGGTTCATTTCTAATTCATTTTAGAAGTTCGCCAAATAACAAATAAGATAATAAGTCATAGCATCATTTATTGATTCAACTTGTAAAAAAACTTTAACTGACCGACTTATAGTCTCCTAAATTATTTACAAATTTAAAAGGGATAGATGTTGTTCTTAAATTTAACCATATGTCAATTCGTAGTCGCTGTGATTCCACTCATGATATGAAGTGTTTTGCCCTTCTTCCCAAAGACTTATTGAACCGCATATCATTGCTCCACCTAAACATATGTCATTATCATAAAATGCACACCATTGTCCCGGTGCAATACAACGCATTGGCGCTTCTAATTCAATTGATAAACATGGTCCAACCTCTCTGTTATCTTCAATGGATGCATCGATTACACTGGCGAGTGTTGCATTGTCTGAGCTAGAAAGACATCGTTTCATGTCTTTCCTAAGGTAAGCTGACGCCAAAGATATGTCACTGAACGGTTTCAAAATACAGTTAACTGGACGCCATTTGTTTTGCCATTGGAATTGAATATTCCTCGAGTTTATAGATGAAAATGGCTCAGAGTTTATCCAAACTGCAGGACCACACCAACACTTGCGCATAAACAAACTTGGGTGGGCTGGGTCACGTACCTAAAATACATGTAAATGCAAGCAAATAATTAATGATTCCGAAGGTTACAATCGCAGTAATACTATAATTTTATGGTCAATAGTGTGCATATGGTATGAGAAGCTTAATTTGTAAATATATTTGGTAGTGTTTCTAAGCTTAGGATTTCTTTCAGGTTGTAGATCACTGATTACGAAACATTTCGTTTGGATTACAACGTCGATATGTTCGTGCACTAGGCTAATATTTCACAACTCCAACTTAAATGCAATGAATGAAACTACTTCTTCACTGTTTAGCTACCTAGAGTGAGAAGCGCAGTCTGTGTACAGATGTTTTGTTGATCAAGACCCCAGAACAATAAAATTAATGAAATATATCGATGAAAATTACTTTACAGAATTTTATGAAATTTGGTAGCTCTCTGAACACAAGTCTTAATGAAAAGAAATGCATTAAGAGCTGAACTCAAACTCACCTTGAGTCAATATTTCGGGATGGTGCACCAACAACAAATGTTGCGTTATGGGTGTGAATACACCGATCTACTACCGCTCATAAATAAACCGCGCTAATAACTCACTTTTTACCTTCAACTGACCCCTTACAACCTACCAGTTCATAGCTTTATTGGTGTTCTTACAGACTGATCTCTTGATCTTTTAGAAGTAAAGGTGAAGTTATTCTACTTAGAATTATTTATCTAGACTTAAAAGTTGTGAAGATTTGAACTCTTTCAACACATCATTTTAGAATACGCACGAAACTACTTGTTTTACCAATTAGTTTTAACATCAACTTTTGATGTATTTCACGTGTGTGATCAAAATAGCCTAACCATTTATCTCATTTAACTTTGTTTGACCCACCACACTTTTCTGGTGAGTCCCTGTTCATAACGTTCATATTTCTAAACCGAACTTGATTAATTTCTGAGTGAACTTTATATAAATAATCTAAATAATAAAAACTGAAAATACATTTGAATAAAGAAACCTAATTACCAAGTAGATAAAGTGTTACATGATAATTACCATCAGGAAATTATCTTATAGCTTTTATTCCACAAATCCATTCTTTTTCTCAAACATATTGTTTTTGTCTATTTCTTTCTACTACCACTGATATTGTTACTACTTCCACCAATGGAATTTGCTTCAATGATTTCATCTGACTGTACTAATATAGTCTGGCAACATGAACCGACACAAGTGTGACAGATTTCATGACTGACTGATTAAAATAGTCTAATAGATGCTGTGTTAAAACCTTATCGATATTTAATCCTACAGTCCGTATGTCATATCAATGAGGCGATCATCATACGAGGCATCACACTATCTCGTTTGATGTTCGGCAAAGCATTCTTACATTTACGACCGTATCTGCAAGACTTTATTACATAGGACTATGTTATACAGGTGCTTGGAAACATACTACAGAATCCCCAGGTTTTTCAAAAAGTCAAAGCTATTACCTTTAGCAGCACATTATGTAACATATTGGCTTTATGAGACAAACACCAAAAGCCTCCTGAATGGTCGTGTTAACGTCTCAGACTGGGGGCAGGGTTACGCAGGTTTCAAATCCCAGCGAGTTGCAGGTACGCCTTGTTAACGAGTACTAACTAATACGAACTCAAGGTATCCAATCTACTACCTACAAACACCTTAAATCTCAACATGGTACACCCAATGTCGAGTTACCTAGACTACTGACCACATTACAACTTGATCCACAGAATACAATAGGCACTACTAGATTAAGCAAACATGATATTACTCACTACTCAGAGATCGGTTAGTCGTAAATACTAAGATTATTAACAGCATTATGAAAATATCTTCTTGAACACAAAAATGCTTCAATCAATGGTTGTTGTTTTTAGAATGATTCAAAATAACAGCTCAATTTTCCTGATATTGAAAAATATGAATAACAAAGATATCAAGAGGAATTTTACTCACTAAATAAATTATTTGATTGTGACAATCCATTTTACTAACATAATAAGGTCCATTAAAACGTTTAATAGGAATTCGTTGACCCAAAGTAAAATGATGTACACCTTAGGAGAAGAAGCGAAGACCAAGTAGAGTTAGTAATCTCGATGTTATAGAGGAAAGTCATGATAAACAAAATAACATCCTATTTGTTAAACATGAAAAAAATTCTACGTAAAACAATCTATTTTCCCCGAAATGAGTATATAATTGAGTAATGCTTGTGGTTGTTCTAAGGAGAAAATCTAAGAGAAGTCAGTTTTATTGTTTATCCTATGACAGCCTAACAAGCTTATTACTAATAATTGGACAAAATACGACTTTTCCAACTGTAGAATAGCATTAAACAGTGTTGTGTGAAATCGAGAGCCAACCAGAAGGTTAATCAATGGCAATGGGAAGCGAACTAAAAAATAAGTGCATTTTATTAAGAAATGGGTCAATTTCCAAAGGATTAGAGTGACATTATATATATATATATATATATATATATATATTAATGTACAGTATATGGTACCGAAGTGCGCACGTGTGCGTATCGTTGTAAAACAGGGTGGCTATAGCAAATAATATAGGCAACACAGGGTCCAGAAACAAAGAGATGTTTTATTTTAACTTCCTACACACCACTCCTTCACACAGACACAACAAGATGTGAAGAGAAACTTAGTGGAGATAATCATAACAATAGTAAGGGAGAGCAATATATAGGGGCAAAAACTTTAAGTTTACTACCGGTTATTATAATCATCAAGGAATAAAAGAAGATATAAATAAATGGATGCATCTCCACTACTTTAACTGATATGCAGCCAAGTAGGAAAATTAGCTAACCACTGGTCACAAGAATTATTGTGTCGATTCAAAAGTAAGAAAGCCTGTATGCTGTAACATGACTAAACACCCTAATCACAGCTTACCTGTATGCTCTTCCAAAACTTGATCAGTTTCAAGATCTTTATAAACGCCAGGCTTTGGTTCCAAATACTACATAATACGAGAAAATTTGAAGTAATGAAAAAGTAGTTAGTGTGGTAAGAAAAGCATACAACAGTATTATGTGGTGTGATACAACACATACATGGGTCAAATGTCTAGACGACTGAGTTACACAATTATATTTAAATAAGTTTAAAAATAAAGACGACAGTATTTAGTTAACATTGGAGACTATACTAAATAACATGATAATGATTACATATCTGTGGAGTAACTATTCACGATCATCACATTAACATTAATCACAACATAAAGACTGGCCAGTATCCAGATCCGAGCTAACATTTGAACCATGGCATTTGACCTTGTTATGGTACAAACTAATTAATCAATGCAATCCGGTAATGTACTGGCGGCCTGCTTGAGTATCTGGGCTACCTGTTCCTCCGATCTAGATATTTCATCAAGTTATCTGTTTTGTTGTTTGTTTTAGCACATCATTAT